TTAAAACAAATCAACGCATTCTCCGGCCATACAGGTGTTGTCTAATGCTTAATTAGATCCCCATAGAAAAATACAAAAATAATGAAACAGTTCCAATGTTGATAGAAAAGTGGAAACATTAATATCTTCTTCCTATTCTCACACTGCACTTGCCAATTCAGTTCTCATACTCGTCACTTACAACGCCAGATCTGCGTTCATGCTAAAGCAAGGCTCCAGGGAAGAAACCGCCCGCCATTAAATATTTTCTATTCCCATGCTGCGTTTTGGATCAGCATATTTTTCTTATGTTTTTGGTATTTAAAGAATTGTTTTACTGTACTAAATTACGTTATTGTGTTATTCGTGAAATATATTTTTGTTAAAATATGTAATTTATTGCAGTGTTATACGATAGTATTTTAGGTGTTTTGAGCAGTGTGATGCGCCTTTTTGGAAAGCCATTTGAGGTAGTTTCATTCATAATTTTTGTTGCCACTCGCGTATATTAACTGTGGCTACTCGTCCATCCATAAGGGTGGTAGGGTAGTCTAGTGCGAAGGCACGGCGACAGTCGATGTTATGGCGCGGCGTTACCGGGAAACGAAAATTAATTAAAAATAGTTACGACGAAGTGAAATGGTTCCCAGTTTATAACTAAGGTACGGTTTGCATTATTTGAAATAATACATAAATTTATTACATTATACGTCAAACCTTTATTTCTTCTTCCCACAAGAGAGAAGAGTTCTTACAAAGAAGTAGAAGAACAAAAAAGGTAACGTTCTCAGGCAAAAGGCTTCAGTCACAATGTTTTTTCACGTAACGAAGAGAACACAAACATTAAAAGTGTTAAGATACACATGTAATTCGTAAACATTCGTATTTTTACTTGTTAAAATATTCAGAGGAAACTGTTTTGGTTTTGTGTCAACTCAAAGTATTCGCAACTAATTCCCCAAATTATTTTTGAACCGTGGAGTTTGTACCTTAGTTTTGAAGAATTTACGATATATATCTTAGGTTTGAACCTTTAATTTATAGATGTTCATAATGTAATAGGAGAACGTGTCACTAATTCGATACAATTCAGTCATAACCTTATCGGATTTCAGAATTATTTTTCAAGACATGTCATTAAAAAATACAGCAAGACATTATGAAATGAACTGCAGACTCAAGACCTAGAAAATGAGTCATACGCCTAAATTACCCCGACTTATTTGGTTTTGTTTTTAGTTAATACATTCGAATTGTTGTGCCTAATGTGTGAAGAAAGAATAAATAGTCTCTGAATTCTCAGGTGTAGTTTAGTTTCTAAAAAATATCATGAGAAAAGGGTGAAAGAGTGGGAGGCTAATATTCAATAGGGGTGCTTGAAGTGAGTTCTTACTACCTTTGAATGATTTTAGTGTGTCTCCCAATATCTTTCCCTTTGTGAATTAATTCTTTCGTTTCCATCAACATTTTCAATTGTGTACAAATATCAGAAACACTCTTTTGTCACGAGCGATCTCGCCAAAGAACCTGCACTCAACTTGTCGGACTGACGCCCTTATTTCCTCTAGCGTCAATACCAATCAATTACAAGTCGACGCAAGTAATAAATAGGCTCTTGAATGTGCGCGTGTGACGCGGAATTGCACAAAAAAGGAGAATGCGCAGTTGGCAGCCAGCGCTGTCCGCCCGTCCGGCGCAGCTTATCTGTGAGGGGCAGCGACTCATTAAGCGCAATTGGCCTTGTGCGGCGTTGAGAAGGCGCGGCTGGGCGGCGGTTGGGCGGCAGTCTTCGCGACGCGTTGCCTCATTCTTTGTTGTGTGGGCGGGCGCCTGGGCAACGCGCGGCGCGCCGCCAGCGCCGCAGTGGTCAGAAACCACATCAAAAGCACGGAGGCCCTCAATTCGAAGTGGAAATTCAACCACCCAACCGATTAAAGGGGCACCTCGCGTAAAAATAAAACTACTAAATAAAATATTAATATCTCGTTTTTTATTTTTATATTTTATTTTTATTATTTCTGGCATTTATTAGATGGGTATTATTTCATTAGATGAGAATATAATGATTTTAGTTGTATTGCCTTATTGCAATCAAAACAAAATCAATACGAACTCTTTAATTGCTTTTTGTACTTCTTTCATATTGCAATCCCCCACTTGGAGAAAAACAGCGACTTATCTCCAAAATGCAACACTTAACATAGAACTAATGACGCCATGATGTGTAAGATATAGTTTAAAATAATATTAACAAAACTTCCATTTGATATATACAAATCGAATTAGAAATCTTAACGTTTGCAGACATGGAGGTGCACGCTATTGGTATTTATTTCTGAAATCGTCCCCCAAACAATTATTTCTTAGTTGTCACTGTTTTCACCGAGACGGGCTTTATCGCCTGGCTTGGTGGCCTTGAGCCACAGCCGTGTGGGTACATCCTGCGCCTGAAGGTTCGAGTCCCGCGTAAGGCGTGGGTGTGAATGCGGCTTGGTTGGCTTTTCGTATCATCCCCACTTCTTCCGTTTCAACTATCATCCCATTAATAATAGCAGTGCCTCTGTGTTACGTGTGTAATAAACTCCCGTCCCGCAACAGTGTATGCTTCCGTAGGCTCTCGCAATCGTGTGTAGTTCCACTAACTTCAGCTGCTGCTGCTGCTGCTTTCCGCTTACGTCGCTGTCCTCGCTCTTGAGGGAATAGCAAATAAAACACTTAAAGTTCCAACCAAACGAAAATATATTGTTCGTAAGTTCGGGATGGCTAATCAATCGACAAACTGTTACCATCTCCGCCTTTGCTGATATCTTGTTCTCTAATCTTGAATCACCGATTAATTATATTTAATATATTCTACTAGATTTCACCAATTTTCTAATCATTTGCAGACGCTACTAAATGGGTATTTAAACAAGTGTTTCACTTTAAATGAAGAAAGAATGAAAGAAATTGCTGCATGACGACTTAATTATTATGCGTCCATTTCTTACGAATTCCAGCTAGCCTCTCACAAAAGAAACTTGGCACTATAGCAACACATTACATTACCCAATTGTTCGTTCTTTTACGAGTCGATATACTCCTTCCCAGTTCTATGTTTTTATTTTGTAATACTTTTACCGGAATCTCCCAGGGTTCGAGTTCCAATAGGGGAAGAATTTTAGCACACTTTAGTTGCACAGCTGGGTCAAATTCAGCCAGTCTGGATGAGAACTCTAGCGGCTGTTGCTCTAATCGGTAGTTTTCCGTGATTTCTTTGATCATCACCCGGTGAATGCCGCAGTAGTACCCTAACAAACAGGCCACTTACCGCTCGGCATCCTTCCTTCCCCTTTCTTGCCCTTTCGATACACGTTATTTACAATACTGCGTGAATTAATTTAAAAAAGCAAACTAAAATTAAAGAAAGAATAGCGCGAATCATTCGACAACTGCCAACGATCACAATGCAGACGCATGATTTAAATGTTAGCGGTATCTGAGTGTCTGTACATCAGTGCCCAGCTATAGACTCATGTAAATAATGTACTGTTTGATATTAAATTTAAGGTATCGGTTCGCTAAGATATTCAATACGTAAACATCGTTTGAGCAAATTTCCTATCAAGTGAAGTCTAAGCGTACAGAATTGTTTCTAAAGGTAACAAATGGTAATCAAAATGGGAAATTTTAGTTTTATTATTTTTTGGCTCGGAATTGCTTTTCTTGAGTCACGTAAGAATGCAGAAAATAATCCAAATTTTTTGGTAAACAAATATTTTTTCAATTTTCGCCCTCAGAAGGTTTTGCGCCATGCCCCTCCAAAACCCCTTCTGTTCCTCCTAACAAATTCAGGGAAGTTAAATAATTTTTCAAAGAGTAGGGTTGTACTCGTCGATCATGTATTTTCGCATGGAAAGCTTTACTTTGCTCTCTTAAGAGTAAAAACCGCGTCTAATATTTTTGTGACTATCAAGGAAAGCGATAATCTAACTGTCAAGAAACTTCAAAAGTTTTTAAGGAACTGTGAATTGTTCGAAGAATATACCTCTATAATACTGAAAAAACCTTTATTGGTAATTTTTGTTCGTCATTTGCATTTTCTTTATTTTTTGATACTGTGTAAGTACGAAGTTACATTTACACATTTTTTAAACAAATAAACGCGTTTCATTAGCAACCTTTGTGCTTAATGTAAAGCAATCTGTTCTTGTGGCATTCGTCCTTTGTGTTGTAAATCTGAACAAGCAAGAGCGAAAGTAACAGCTAAGAAATAGCTTCTACATCACGTGCAGAAAGAACAGAATGGAAGAGAAGTAAACCAAAGAAAGAGAGGAAGGTGGATGTAGTAAGAATAAAGAAGGTTAAACGAGAAGCACATTTTAATGACAAAGAATGAGGTCTTAGACAACTTCATCAGATGTTGTCTGAATACTTGTAGTCACCTACTAACAAAGATTTGTTTCTAAATTTGTCATCTGTGGCAGGTGCTTATGTGCAAAACGAAGACACTGATAATGATAACCGCAATGGTGAAGAACAATAAGTTGGTCAATAATATTCCAAATCGATAAAGCGCATTCATTTCTTGCACTATTCCTTGAATAATTGTAATATAACTGCCTCAAATAAATAGTTTTGACACACAAATTTCTCAATTTTATGAAAAGACCGACATAGTCCATACACATCCCACTTTATTCAATTTCCTCAGTACATTTAAAAAGTTCATTAGTATTTTTAATATAGCTTGGGAAAGTGCATCGCAATTTTCATGTTTCAAATGTCTAACAATTTTGTCATGGAACGTTTTATCGCTCTGCTAAAAATTGTGTTTTGGGACTATGATTTAAAAAAAACTCTTCAATTGTATTCCTTTTTTTCGATTCCAATTTAACACGTATGTAGCCACACCTTCCAGTTCATGTATTGGATCAAAATTCGCATTTCAACACGTAGGCACAATTTACGAAATTAGCCATCCCTGTCATTTTTGAATATTTTTTCCGTAACAACTTTGTGCCCTTATCGTTTTTATTTGCAGCTGCCTTCCGGCTACGACGTCGACGACATTGTTACTTTTGACGCAGCGCCTTACGCCTTCGCCTTTCCGACATTCGGGATCAGGTGTTATGTCACGGGCGCCTGTAAGTATTGCTTTGACGTAGTGGCCCTAGCGGTCTGAACTTCAAGAGATCGCTGTCATATTCAGTAGGTGATGAGTCAATATCTTAGAATGCTGTTGATGATGTGCTTGCCGGTATTACATGATAAGTTAATCCTAGAGTTTTGCACCAAATTACCTGCCTTGAAATTAATTCATTTTCGAAAAGTATTACCACTACATCACCCAGGAGGAACCTGGAAAGCTTTTTTTGTTTTGTAATACGAGAGGGGAAAAATGATCTTCCACAAAAAAATTTATTAACTATTAGTCAGTTACAGAATTACACAAACATGTTTCGAGGTATTTTACCTTGTCTTCAGTGTCTCCACAGGACATCAAGGAACACTTGAAAACAAAATAACACGGTCATTATGATTCATGGTGTGCTTCTTACACGGTGCGATTTCGTGCATTATGTGTTGCTTGTTACTAGGTTTTCAAGTTTTCCTTAATGTTCTGTGAAGACACCAAAGACGAGGTAAAATACATCGTAACATGTCTGTCTAATGCTGTAATTGACTAACAGTTAATTAATTTGTGTGTGGAAGATCATCCGTTGCATTACGATTACGGCGTTCCACAATATACGCGTGGAAACCACCGAGTCTATCTTTCTTTTTCTTTTCTCTTTTTACTTTTCTGTTGCTTTTAAAATGTTTTCTCTCGCCGTGCGCATCTTTTGGGGCCAGTGTGCGGCCCGTCCGGCGACGGCTGCCGTTCGATCCGCGCCGCGCCGCGCCGCTCCGCGTCGCGCCGCCCCTGTCGCCCCTGCCGCTCGCCCCCCGCGCGCGCGACCCGATCCATATCCGCCGCCGAAGGCAGGCACCCTCGCCTTCCAGGAGGAGGACGGGGCTGGCGACAGTAGAGCGGACGGCTTTCGATCCGCCTGCGGCCGAGATTCAGTGCAACCTCTCGGTGCATTCTGAATAACGGAAAGGAGGACATTTCATTTCTTGGTCGAATTATCGGCTACGGATACGCGAGGCCGTTGATTGGTAGACACTGCGTTGAAAACAAGCCGTCTCATTCGTTAGCTTTCAGATAGAAATTTCTCAGATTTCTTCCATAATAGTTTCGTAATGTTAGATAATTCAATTGGTTATTTTTAAAACCTCACAAGTCAGGAATTGTAAAGTAGTGGGAAAACAAGAAAAACTGAATAATTAACCCTTCGATTCACGAAGCCTAGATGTTGTGACATTCCACTTAGTGTGCTTCAGAGGCCTGGTGTGAATAATTCACTGATTTAGCGTCGCAATTAGTACTATTGAATAAAAGGTTTTTTATTATTAATGGACTTGAATTTTAAACACTTAACAGATAACAAGAATTCATTAAACATTTAATTTGCAATTATAGAGCCGAATAATGTGATTTGAATATTCATGGCACACATTGTTTTTTGCACATTTTTTCCTGACATTCTGTGATTTTTTTTCCTGACTTTTTTCCTGAGGCATAAGTAGCACGTAGAACGAAAGTATCGACGTTACTTGACAAATAATTTATTACCATTTTACCATGGTACTGGCTCTTGTAAATTTTCGTATTACCACTTCTTTTTCTTTGGAGATGATTTCTCTGGAATTTCTGATTGGGTTCCTGTTTATGCGGAAGACACGAAGAGCATTAAGTTTTAGCGTTTCTCACTCTTTTCATGTTAACGCGACATACGCATTTTTCAATTGCTTCAAATCACATCCTTTCCCATTAGCAATATGCTGACAGACCTGAAGCATGTATGTCAAGATTATGTATGCATTCAAAGCAAGAACATCAATCATATTATAAAATAACCTCATTGAACCTTGACGAATTTCCCTTCACAATGTGTAGACATCGACCAATTGATTAGTGAGGTTAACTCCAACATTTGGTTTGCTGTATGCAAAAATAACAGATTTTTAATTGTTTTTGTCATGACATTTTTGATCCAGATGTTTTGAGCTAGAAATATAAATGATTGTGTTCTTTTTTGGCTTGTATGATACAATAATTGTGAGATACCCGTTGATTACATAAATACTAGAAAATTATTCTCTGCTATTATAATCTCGCGGTTTCTCCCTTGTTAGCTCGTAATCTACCAAAAAATGTTATTCACTCTTTGAAATTGGACCAGATCTCCAGACGAAAAAAATAAGTTGTTATATAACTTCCACTGAATAATGCATGCACCAACTTCTTTATTATTGATTGATTAGTGATTCAGAACGTGTTAACTGCTAAGATAATTAGTCCCGTAAGTGTAGTGCGCGTTTCGTTGCGGCAGGTGACAGTGATCTTTCCCCGTTGGCTGGTTAGATCCAGTGCCGAGCTACGCCGGTTTAAGGTGATTTCCCCAAACAGGTATCTCCCACCAGCATGACATCTAGCCGGGACCATCTCTAAGCCCCCGACGTGTGTGTAGTGTAGTGCATATGAGTATGTGAGTAATTACGATATGAGGGTAGGACAAGGAGGAGGAAGGAAAAATCGTGCTTTGTCCCTGGCCTGCTTTTTAGGATACTGCTCCAGCATTCACCTGGTGTTGATTGGAGACACCAAAGAAAACTTCCAATCAAATCCGCTAGAATTCTACTCCAGATAGCGGCTGAGTGCGTCCTACCTGACACTCGTGTCGAAAATCCTACCTCCTCCATCGGGACTCAAACCCTGGCAACTCCTGGTCAGAAGCATTGCATTGCCATCAGTTGATGCCCTGAGCCACCTTTGCCGATCCTCTCTTTATTATTGTCTTTGATGCCACACCTTTCGCAACAAGTTCATCGGTTTTTGTACCACTGTATATTTTGTCACGTAAGACAAATTGATTCGTAGAATCACAGCACCAAACTATTTTTATTCCTCATTTATGTGGTGGCAATTTGTGTTACATGCGCAAGACAAGTAAAATAAGACGCCTGTAATGATTGGGTACAAATGTCCAACAGTACAAATGTGCTTCGTACGCTTTCAAAGAGCCGTTAAGGAGAGGGAGAGGGAGAAGGAGATGGAGAGGGAAGTAAAGTTGCCTTTTTTAAACCTTCACATCTGGCTAACTAGTGAGCTGGGTTTAAAAATTATGCCCCAGTAAATATTTAATAGCTAGATTAACTGTAATTACAAGCTTACTGAAACTTTGGTTACATTTTAATAATTCTCATTTAAGCCTCTCTAATCTAGTATATCTGTAGAGGTATGTTACCAAAAAACACGGCCATGAACAAACTAATTTAACTTATCCTTCCAAAAGTTCCATAGCCATTCCTGTCATCCAGATTTAACCCCCATTCTCGAGACTGCTACGCCGACCCGGTTAGCGTGACATACTCTGCCGACGAGCAGCTGCTTCTGTTGCATAGAAATAGGACATTAATTCCTTCATCTTGCAACAAGAGAGCGACTTCGGTATTCCGCCCACCAGTCGCGTTGCAGTCGCATTCGAATCGGCGACGCTACTCGCGGCGCGACTCAGACACAGGGAGATCATAGCGCAGGAGGGCAACAGGTGCCCTACAGGGCAGCTCTACAAACCAGGAAATAAGGAAGCTTGAGCGACCTATATCGTAGTCGGTAGCGCGCTATAATTTCACTTGTGAGTTCTGAGGTTGAAATTCGGAAACTTCCGTGTGATTCCCTGGGGCAGGTTACCTAGGATTCTCTCTTGTCCGGTGCACCAACTCCATCTTGATTCTCGTTACTCACTACATGACGGAATTGTCACAATTATGATTTTTATTCGCCTCTGTGAAATCAGGGAGATTTTGTATTGGGCGAGAGGAAACAAATTGTATTTATCAAGTTGATCCGTATTCTGGTGGCTGGTAAGTGTGTATTGTGTGCTGTGACTCCTACTCAGATTCTCGAAAATGTATTTCACGTTTACGGTAATTTAACGAATTCAAATATGCAATTGCGCCGTGGTTCCACTTAATATTCTTTAGACGTCATCACCTATCTTACTAAGAGATCAAGGGAGTACCTACATTAGACATTCTATTTTGTTTATTAATTATTAGAATATTTCCATATGGTGCAATTATTTTTAAGTTCTAGGGTCACATAAACACGCGTTTTCAGTTTCCTAACAAATTAAATTATATCTGTGAACTGTCTGTTAACTAAGATGCTCTTTTCATTAAAAAATATTTAAATCTTAAATATGTTTATGAACGACTCAAAGAGTTTTTCATTAAATAATTTTTCATAAAGATTATTATTTCAAATATTTGTTTTCATTCACAATAAAAATCGCCTGGTTGACGATTTATTCTCGAAAAGTTACTTTTAAAAACAAAATTCGTACATGTTTTTCATTTTTCTAATTGTTTGACTCCTCTGTTTACTGCTGAATTTGCGTTTTTGAAAATGCAACGGTCAAAAATTAAGATTTTCTGGGTTTTGAATCCTGGAATTTTCAGAGATCAGAACCGGCAATTTCCGCTTCAATAGAAATACACTACTTGATTTTATTTTTTATTCTAATGTTTTTCACATTTGATTATTTGTAAAGCTTAAACTAATGAATAATTGAAAATACGTTGTTAATTATTTTAATAAGTAATAATAATTTGCTTGTAAAATGTATTGTTACAATAATTATTCGGGCGAAATTAACATCTTTTACTTCAAATATACGAAATTAAAACTGTTTAATAAAGTTGGATTTAAATTTGGATGCTTTCACGGTTATTTTATTCGTAAGGTGTGCTTTATTTGAACAGTTTAAAGTAGTTAATTTAGGTAGGATGTTACACTGAGTTAAATACTGAAGATGAGCGTTCAATGTTGCTATGATCACTAGGCCATATTCTTGAGAGGGTTCCCAGTCCATATCATGAAGTATTTCCAGAAGCGTAAATTAAAGATAGTAGCTGTGGCTGCTTCGCGCGGGCGGAAGTTCTTGGGCGGGACGGCGGGAACCGGGGCTCGTAAACATCGACCGGCTTTGTATCCATCATCTGCTCCCTCCAGCCTCGAGCAGGCGCGCCCGGGATCTCGGTCATTAAGAGGCTCGCTGGGGAGAGGGGAGGGGGCCGTTCGACGCCTCGTCAGGAGCCCCCCCCCCCGGGAAGGAACTCAGCGGCGTCCTCGGAGCCCTTGTGCTCGCCTGCCTACTTGGCGCGAATGCCAATGATGTTTGCGAGACAGTACCTAGATGTATTTGACAAATTTATTTACTATCTGGTCAATCATACAGAGTTTTGTAATACGTATATATTAAATACTGGGGTAGGATATGGTCAGATGAGGTGCTTATTTCATGCGACAATCCCTCTGATTTCCAGTGAGTTTGGTTTGATTCATTATTTTAAAGTTGTGATATGAATTTGTATTATAGAGTGGTTTTAACAAGTTGAATTATTTTAACTGGGTACCTTGAATTAATTTTTGTGTTTGATTGAGTGATCTAGAGTGAAGTTTTTTTGCAGAATCCGCTAATTTTAAGTCCTTATATTTTTTCTGATAACTTTCTAAATAATTATTTAACATGACTATTTGTGGTTCATTTCTTATTTGATTGATGGAAACGTACCTAGGGGCTATTAATACCCTTCTTAAACATTTTTTGCATAATTTGTATTTTATCAATGTCATTAGTTTCACTAACCCACACTGGACAAGCATAAGTAAGTGATGGCCTCATTATAATAAATTTAAATACTGTAATTCTACAATGTTAAGTAATTGTAGAGTTGCTATTAATAAGGAAATATAATTTTGGTACTTTTGCATACTAGGTTTATTATCTATTTCTATAATATGATATTTACAGGTCAGTTTTTGATCGAGTATTATACCTAGATATCTCACTAACTGATCTTTCAATTTCCATTTTCCAAAGTTACAATTTTTAATTTTTAGTGAGTCGGGCAATTTATGTCTCTAAGTAAATATTTGGGGTTGCAATTTTGTGAGGTTTATTTTTATTCGCCTATATGAGCATCAATATATAAAAATCTCTTAATATTTTTATATTTCTCTTCCTTGAGAGATTCCTTTGTTGTGAATAATGCTGAATCACCAGCGAGGCATGTTACATTTTTCTTCTTTTCACAGGAGGATAGGTTAAAGAGTAGAGAAGATTGCAGTGACTTACTAACGTACTCCTACACGGATAATTTTTTTTAATCAAATGAGGTTGTATTGAAGCAATTTTGCAGGAAACATTTGATTATTTGTTACAAATAATGGGGTCTACGTATTTCATTTTATGTAACAAACCTGAGTGCCAGACATTGTTGAAGGCCTTTCACCGTGAAGAAAAATAGCGAATTTGTGTGGTGAAATCCGTTTGCTAGATTTTGCGTTAGTCTTAACAGCTTCCCCGAAAATGAGTTGGACTACGGTTTGAAGGCCTACAGTTGGGCGTTGTTCAAAGAGAAAGTAATGGGAACTTCTTAAAAGTGTTCGCCTACCTCTCGTTATGACGTGCTTTTAGTGATCGATCAATATCATCATCAATTTATCTGAAAATGTGGTTAGTTTCAATTTTTTGGGAGTTAGAACATGCGCTGTTCCAATATTTCTGAGCGCAGGAAAGTGTAGAAAATTAAGCTATGATTTGCCTGTGGAAAATTTGTCAAAATTATGTCACGTTTATTTTATCTGAGTAACCCACCTGACAACTGGAAGCCCTTGCCCTCTAAGATATTGAAACGGGCTACAATAAAAAAATAATAATAATTTTATCTCTAATATATTAAGGCAATCATGTATTATTATGGATAAATTCATGATACCATTGGCAGGTCATTTATTGGGAAATGGAAAGACGTTATTAATTGATTTCAATAAGTTAGATCTTAGAGGAATTGAGTTTGTTTCATTATCTCACCTCTTTCATTCCATTAATTATTCTCAGTAAAATAAATAATTAAAGTACTGAAATGTAGAGCAGATGAAATTTTGACGATTTTTGAGTTATGATAACTTCCCAGGGACTGAGGAGAGGAGTCTTTTGTTACTTGCAATAGTATGAGCATTGTATGTGATGTAAGCATTGTAAGTAACATAAGTGCATCATGGCATTGTAAGTGACAGACTATGTCATGATGTTACAGGTTCTTCCTGGTCTGTATGTGGGCAACTACCGTGATTCTAAAGATTCGACGCAATTGGAGCGATTCCAGATCACCCACATCGTCGCCATCCATGACGCCGCCCGAAAACTACATTCTGTAAGTCAACTTTGTTTTCTTCATATTTCTCATTTTTAATGTTTGGGTGCTGATTTATTCGCGCGTTCAAAGGTTTCCTTTCCAGGATATTTCCGGTGTCACAGATCTGAAAAG